TCTCACTAGTGACCTTTATATTGACCTTGATAATAATCTCACTAGTGACCTCGTTACTGACCTCTATGTTGAACTTGGTGGTGAAGTCAAGGTCGATGTACATCTGCTGTAGCAGCACCAGCATCTCAGCATCCTCCCACTGCCAGTTGTCGAAGGTCGGCTTACGCAGATACATCTTCACCTCATCCGTTACCTGTATGTTCCTATAGCAACGAACAGATGCATGAATGGATAGACAGATGGACGGACGGATGGACTGGTGAATGGATGGGTAGATGGACAGATGGACGGACGGATGGACTGGTGAATGGATGGGTAGATGGATGGATGGACAGATGGACGGACGGATGGACTGGTGAATGGATGGGTAGATGGACAGATGGACGGACGGGTGTACTGGTGAATGGATGGGTAGACGGATGGATGGACAGACGGACGGACGGATGGACTGGTGAATGGATGGGTAGACGAATGGATGGACAGACGGACGGATGGATGGACTGGTGAATGGATGGGTAGATGGATGGATGGACAGATGGACGAATGGATGGATGAATGGATGATTGGATGGATGATTGGATGAACGATTGGGTGGATAGATGGATGGATGAATGAATGAACGGACAGATGGACGGAGGGACAGACGGATGAACTCGTGAATGGATGGGTAGATGGGTGGATGGGTGGATGGACAGATGGACAAATAGATGGATGGATGAATGGAGGGATTGATAATGATGGACGGACGGACAGACGGATGGACTGGTGAATGGATGGGTAGATGAACGGATGGACAGATGGACAGATGGACAGATGGACAAATGGGTGAATGGATGAATGGATGGGTAGATGGGTGGATGGACAGACGGACGAATGGATGGATGGATGGACGGACGGACGGACGGACGGACAGACGGACGGATAGATGGATGGACAGATGGACAAATGAACGGATGGATGGATGGATGGATGGACGGACGGACGGACGGACGGACGGACAAACGGACGGACGGACGGACGGACGGACGGACGGATGAATGGATGGATGGATGGATGGATGGTTGGATGGATGGATGGATGGATGGATGGATGGATGGATGGATGGATGGATGGATGGATGGATGGATGGTTGGATGGATGGATGGATGGATGGATGGATGGATGGATGGATGGATGGATGGATGGATGGATGGATGGATGGATGGCTGGATGGATGGATGGATGGATGGATGGATGGATGGATGGATGGATGGATGGCTGGATGGATGGATGAATGGATGGATGGATGGATGGATCTATGAATGGATGAATGGATTCGTGAATGGTCAGGTGGGATGGATGGATGGATGGATAGATGGATCGATGAATGGTCAGGTGGGATGGGTGGATGATAGATCACCATCCATCCATCCATCCATCCATCCATCCATCCATCCATCCCTCCACTCACCACAACTACCAACAGTGACGAAGAATTAGGAGAATCATGAGACAGATGGCGACACCTAGCGACCCACCTGGTTGAAGAACTCTTTCAGCAGACAGTCCAGCCACGGCTCGGCGACGTCCATCGGCCGCGCCTCGTTTGAAATGTCAGATACTTTAATGAGGATCATCATGAGCTGTAAACGAACAACAACAATCTCTGTAATTCATGGAATTTTATTTATTTTTTATTACTAAATCTTAATTGCATGTAATTCAGATACAAATACATGTACTGACGACAGTTTTTTTCATGGAGAAAAAATCTGATAAAAGCAATAGTGTTGAGTAGCTAAAAAAAGGAATTAATCCATCGTAATCTGTCCATCAGCCTAAGTTATTTTATTTTATGTTTAATCAAAAGATACATTAACCTGTTGGGAAGAGTTTCGATAACCCGTTGAGCTGTCATTGTCAAATTAACCACACTTATATTAACCATAAAATAATATCAACTATTTATATTCTCAGGCAATGGTTCAACTGTCTCACCTCATGAGAGATGGCAACTGACAATTTAACATTAAATCTACATCCACAGGGAATGTGTGATAGGGAGTGAGATTGATAGGTCGTTATATTACCACATCCACTCTACACTCTTACAGAATGACCATTGCTTAGCCGTTTGGTTTCTAAATAACCTGTATATTAAAGCAGCTCTCTTTTGTAGATGGTTGACAAGATTTGATGAGTGTCAGCTGAGTTCTGTGTTCATCAATTAACTAAAATGATTAATAATTTATTTTAGGATATTGAGTTAGTTTAATACTAGTTATCTGCCAAGTTGCTATATTTGGATGTGCTGTCTGGTGCGTGCGTGTGTGTACAACAAGTTAAAAGCTTTTAATTATCTTAATGTACATGAGTTGAAGTGAGAGAAAGAAAGCACCACTTCAACTAATCTGACCTTTGTGGCTAGTTCTACCCCCAGAGTGAAGCAGCCGACATGAGTGTATAAACAAATACCAACTCTAAGCAATAAAGCTGAGGACGTATAAAAAGGGTAACGCGTTCATGTTTGATCCAGGGACTGGCCTGGCGGGTCAATTAATTTCAGGCTAACATGAACGAAGAGATAACGAAAACGAACAATCTACTTAGAAGTCAATTATCCACGCACCAGGAATTATTATCAGAGAAACAAGTAGCATTAATAACGTACAGAAAATCTATAAACCTTGCCGGTACACACACCAAACGCAGACAGACACAGACTAAACTAATCACATGGTTGAAGTAATTGGTTTCATCTATGAATTGACATTAGCCAGCAGACACTGAAACCACAGTCGGGCCCAGGCCTGTCTGGATCCCCCTTATTGCTCTCAATAACGTGGAGAATATGCGGATTCAGAAATCTAGACATGACGAGAGGCAACTAGACACGACAAGGGATGCGTCACCAGACGCTTCAGCGAACAGATCGGGTTGTTTAACCTTTTCATGGAAACCACCACGAATTCTATCTGCACTGCCATGGCTGCGGTGAGGATGAGAGAGGGAGATAGCGCAATACTTCGATGAGATTTAGAGGCAGGGGACAGGGCAGGATACAAAGACCAAGACAGACAAAGACAAAGACCTAGATAGACAGATAGATAGATAAATAAATACGTAGAGATATAAATAGATTATTAAACATAAAGATTTAATATTATTAGAATGTATGTAAGAGGGGTGGATAGAAAAGGAAAAAGGGATGAAAGAGAGATGAGAGAGAGATTAAAATAGAAAGCGAGAGTATCTCTTATGCTTACCACTGTTCAACTGTCATATCAACAGCAAAACTATTTGTCAAGTAAAAACGAGTGCCACTGCAATCTTACAATTGCTTTTACCACCCCCCCCCCCTTCTCACCTCTTCTTCTTTAACTTAAAA